CCGGCTTTGCCTATTTCAGGGCCTTTGTGGGGAGTAGCTGCCATCCGTTTTACCGCAGCTGTTCCCACTTTGACGAGGCGGAGGACATTGGGAACCGTCCGGATTTGAACCTGCGACCTTCCAGTTAAAAGATGCACACATTACTTAATATGCCACTCGCTGTATGTTACAGTAAAGTAGCCAAGCGTTTTATGTTATATGGTTCTCGATTGAAGTCGTTAATCACCACTAACCAGATTTATGGATGCACCAGACACCGCCTGAGCTGCTTTGTCTGGGAACAACATAGAAATCGGTTACAATGCAAGTAGAACAGACTGCTACGACCACCATAAGTGTCACTTTTTTCAGAAAAATTGAAGATGGACTAGACAAAAACAGGCAAACAAATAGTAGAAAAAAGCGGTGTAAATGCAAAAATACGCAAACTTTCTGTTAAAACACCAGGAAGAGTATAAATTCAACGCCGTGGTGAGATAAAAGCCTCTGTCTGTAACAGCCAAGTCGAACATCGCAACATAAGAGCAGTGACACCTAATACTTTGAACTTTTACACATTTACTAGTAAAAAACAAGGTAGCAGTAATTGTGCTTTAAATATACTCTGACTAAAATAAACTAGTCTTCTAAAAGAAAGCCGGCTCTTGGAAACGAACCTCAGCCTTGAGCTGCGCAAGAATTTGCTTTCTTAAGCACCGAAAACTTTTGACGATATTGTTGGCAAAATAAGGGTATTTGATGTTATTCTACGAAATAAAATTTCCAACCAAATGATGCCAACTTTATGTGAAAACATACTTAAGTTGCAATTTTCATGCTATGGAATTTGTGTTGTGGGCATGTTTGATAACAATACTGCAATTTTCCATTTTAATCACCTAAAATTAACAGCAAAATTGAAATTAAATTTTCAAACTTTCCTCAAAAATTTTTCCATATTAAATTTCAGCGCGAAACCCAAAACTTATCAAAGAAAATGTGCATGCAAAATAGTTTTCGGTTCATACTGTAATCAAGATGCGCAAAAATTAGAAAAAAAACTTTATTTTTCAAGTTTGGTTGGCTGCATTCAGCTAAAATCCTAATTTTCATTTTTGAGCAGTATAAGATACTTTGTTTTATTGAAACTGAGCAAATTACAATCGATAAAAAAAAGTGTGCTAAATTTAAGAAAAAACTTGTCAAATTAATCTTTTTGAATCTTTTTTACTCTCCAGAAAAGTCAAAAAGATTCAAAAAACGGTCAGAACGAAAATTCGACTCTCACCAAAGCAATAATTTTTGGGCGTAACTGCTTATTAAGGAGAGTTTTTCAAACCCGTTTTAGTAATTTAAACAAAAATAGAGTGGAGTTTTTGAGAAATTGAAAAAAAAAATTAAAAATAAGTGTAAATTATCCCCCAAAGGACTTTTTCGAAGGTTGTTGAGAGGGATAGAGTTACAAGATTCTAGAGGAGTATGATATGCAGGCACACAGTGGATAGGCAGTCTTTCCAGTGACATTCCATTTTTGAAAGTCGGTAGAACAATTTTTGAGAAAAACTATTTGTAAAAAGAGGAAAAAATTTCCAAATCGTCTAAAAAAATGAAATGAAAAACCCAATCCCATTCATACTCGTAATACTTGTTTTTATCAAACGGGATTCCTAAACCAAATTTCCAAGCAAGACATTTGCATTTTTAAATAATTTTTGAACGAAGCTTAGGAAGACGGAAACGAAGCCGACAACCTTTGAGCAGACACCAGTTGGGTAAAAAAAAACGATTTTTGAAAATCTATTAAAATTTTCAATTACCCTCTGAAACTACAAAAAAAGCCCTTGTAACTACAATGATACATTCCTACAGCACAAGAAAAAAAAAGGTAATGAGGCAACTAAGCCGATAAAACTAGAGCAGACAAAAGCAGGCAATTCAATTTTTATTGAAACTTTTTTTAGCTGCTTAAATACTGAAATAAGAAGGTCCGTCCGAAGTGAGAATGAACATGAAAGTTGTTAAAATTCGAAAATAAAGCAAGCTGGAAGTTTGTACGAAACGTTGTTTATGGTAAAGTTATCTAGTTCCCGATTACAAAACACTTACTTTCGCCAAGTTTAATAATATAATTAAAACTAAAACAAAAATATTTGTGTAATAAGTTTTTAATTGAAGTTTTTGGTTCGAGCAAATGGTTTTTTTGAAAATTTTTCTGACTTGAGAAGTTTTTTCAGAATTTAGATTAAAATTAAACTTTTAAAGAACATTCTACCACTTTCATTTTTTTCAGATTGCATTTTTGGAGCTTGTTCAAATCTTCGTTGAGAAGAAGCGATAAACAAAGCTGCAAAGCTAGTTGTTAACAGCAGCTTTAAACTGATTATTTTATTCAAAAAAATTATTTATGGCTTACTTAGGAATTTTTCGTGTTACTCACTTGGTTTACTAATTCTAAAATGAACTAAACTAAAAATTTGCGCTTGGCAAACCTGTTTTTTCTGCACTGAGGAAAGATTTTGTTAACTTGAATTGTGAGTAACTCACGACCTTGCTATAACCATAATCGATTTTGTACTGTTCAAAAAAGTTGCATTGCCTACAAAATTGGTTACCTTTGTCAGCGTTTGAGAATCTATGTTTGACACTGTCGGATTCGGGGGCCTCGAGCATCTGAATGACCAATAGCGTGAAACTCGTAGTTACCTAAATAATTAAACCGACCGAAATAATTGTGCATAACTTGTTCAAAAGTTTAAAAATAGCCAAACTTTAGAAGATAGTTTTCACGTGATCAATAGTGCATAACTTTTCAATGATCGGAACAATAAAATTGAAAATATTTGGAAGTACTCAAAGGGCAATAATTTAATGGATTTTATATGACAGAAACAGTTTCGTAGGAAAAAAAGATCAACAATTCGTAAAATATTCATTTAATTTTTAGTCAATTAGATTAAATTTCTAATTATGTCAATCAGCAAGAATAATTGGTCAATTAAATGTTGATTTTACACTCGTTTGATAAATATATTATAGCTACCTTTTCTACTATAGCAAAAAGCGATCCAGCTATTAGTTTTTGCGATAATCAAATTTGCTTACTTTAACTAATATTTTGGAAGTTTTAACCGGTTACACTTCTAAAAAATCTCTGGGATGAGGGTTTGAAAATACTTGAATATGATATTACTTGAAAAAATTTAGTCCAAGAACTAATTTAAACTACATAGAAAGTTGATGACACACCCACCGACTCCCTTTCAGATTTAAGCGTTTGCGGGCGCCAACCTTGAAAGATTCCAACCTTTGCCCACCCAAAAGGTCACCTCTTTGCTACTATTGGTTCACTTCCACTTTGAGCGCACTGAAACTAAAGGTCAGCTAAAGTTGGAAATACCTGTTCGATATTTTTTGAATTCGTTGTACTGATGCGAGATGAAACGGGTAATTTCAAAAATTTAAAAATTGCGGTTCACCCAAAACCTTATTTGGTTCTGTAATAAAATAAGTAAGAGTGAAATTATTTGAGACTTCAATTTTTGCCAAGGACATCGTTTTTTTAAATTTGTATGGCGTAACAGCATTTGCACTGAGGTTTCCCACATTGTTACCTCGTTTAAACCTTTGATATCAGATTCGACTGGATGGACTTTTCTGAGGGTCATATTTTTTGTATGAAAATTCGAATGTAGCTGCTTATACAGGGGACTTTATTCGACCCTTTCATTTGATTGAACCCGAAATCTCACATTTTGGTTGCAAATTCTACCTATGACTTTTTTAGCATGGGCGTAACAGCAACTGCACATGAGCTTCCCACAGCCCTTTTTCTCCATTGAATCCAAAATGTCAGATTTGGCAGGGTAGTTTTCGAGAAAAGTCAAATTTCAACACAGGGTCAAAAAATCAAATTTTGGAGTTTCAAGAGGTCCAAAGTTTTGTGAATGAAGATTTGGGCGTATCCACTTATGCAGGGGTGCTTCACACAACCTGTTATTTCGATTGAAACCAAAATCTTGGATTTGGACAGGTAGTATTCGAGAAAAGCTATAAAGTTTGAAAAAAAAAACTGTCAAAAAACTAAAAATTCGACTTTTTGAGTGACAGAACTACTCGTTTAAAAACACTGGTCTTAGCCTCTTATCTTGCCATAACCTGTATTTTAGATTAAAGCTAAAAACTTTAATTTTGGAGGGTAGTTTTTGAGAAAAACTAAAAAATCCGAAAATCTGGGTCGAAAATCTGGGTAACCCCCCACACAATTTTTCGAAGGCTACAGAAAATTGGGTGAGGTAAAAAGAGACTAGGGAATTATGCAGTCACACAGGGTAGTGGGGGGACTTCCCATTGGTACCACTTTTTTAAAATCAATTGAGTTATTTTTGAGAAAAACTATTTTTTTGAAAGTGAAAAATTTGCCAAAGCGTCTAAAAAAAACATAACCAACTAACAGTTGGACTAGAGTAATAAACGCAAGGTAACTGGAAAAAAAAACAGACATGTTTTTTCATGAGCCTTCAACTTTTGATTTTCGAAGAAAAAGTTAGATGACCTTAAAGCTCTTTGAATTTGTACAACAATTTATGATGGACACTTTTTTGTTAAAATTAACCCAATTTGAGAAAACTGGATCAATAGGTAAAACTTGTATTTCGCTAGGAAATATTCCTTCCTTTTAACAATGGAAATGCACTGAACTTGAAAAGAAATCACAAGTCAAACCGCGAAAAATCAAAACTGAGCGTGAAATTTTAAGACTTTTCCCCAAAAAAAAATTCAGCAAGACCTATAAAAGAGTACTCACTAGGTTCATTTCTCTTAAAGACCCCGATTCCAATAAATTTTTTCATAAAACCTGTTTTTATCAAACAGTAATTTTTTCAAAACTTTTTTATCAAACAAATTTGTGAAATCTGCATTTGGTACCAATGTACACTAAATTTGAGGGGAAACGCGCCGAGAAAAAAATGGATTTTTTTAAATTCTACGAAAAGTTTCTTCAAGCAGGAATAAAATGAAAATGAGAAAAATGAAGATTGCATTACGATATGTTTAAATGAAAATTATACACAGTATAAAAATAAACTCTTCCAAACTGAAATTTAATTTTTGTTTATTCTGAAAATCTATTAGCTATATTTTGGGCCATTTTCAGTTCATAAATAAGTAAATTCAGTCTTTCCTTCTCGACATTGAACGACACTTTCTCGTCTTCTGAGTTCGTACAATTAGACGTCGAAATTTCAACCAACACTGAGTCGCATTGGATAGCCTTATTTCCCCATTCGTTCGATTCAGAAGTTTCTACAAGATAGAAGTTAGGCTTTGCATCGCACTTGACGACTTTATTCATCCGGAGGCTGTTTTCTCTTAAGCTTTTCAGAATAGGATCTACACTTGACTGTTGCGCCTTTCCTAAAACAACCGAATGTTCTTTCGGCAATCCAAGTTGCTGCATTTCACTGACGAACTCTTCATTTTGAACTTGGTTTGCGATTGCTCCTTTGAGGAGAAACAAAATGGCCGCCAGAATTCCTTTGATGTCATCTTCGCTGTTTAATTTCGAATCACTCAAGTGTTTTTCTACCTTTTCTGAGTCAAATGTGTCATCGTTAGTTAGAAGCTTTACTGCTTGATTGCAGATCAGCTTCAATTTGACTGACGAGATTTTGGAGAGGTTGCTGATTTCAGCCAAAAGCCAATCAGGGCAATCCAAGTCACCACAGAACTTAAACTTCATCTGAAAACAATCAAATAAGCATGAAAGAATGATTTTTTGAAAAAGATGTTTTTTCTTCAAAATTTGACCTTGTTTTTTGTGCAGTTTCCTTGTTTGTTTTCAAGTTGAATTGAAACAGAAAACAGGAACTAATAGCATCATTGAGCTTTAAAACTCCAAATAACACGAAACTGAAAGTGAGTTAGTTAATCCATTATATCCAAGCTTCTTTTGAAAATAGGCTGAATTTAATGCATAAAAACTGACGACATACTCAGTCCAGTTTGTCTTGACCCCGAAGCAATTTTTTGTAGCCCAAATTAAAGGGCACACTCGGTTTCCTAAGAGCCTTCTTTTATGTACCTGATTTTTTGAGGTGAAAAGCCACCTTAGACTATATTCCTTCCCAACCTAAGTGGTGGTCGGAGAAATTAGCTACACCATTAAAACGCTAAAGCATTAACAACTTAGAAAAACTTCTGACATCTCTTTGGGTAACATTATCGAAATTGCTGAAAATAGTATCCATATTACGTTTCGCATACATCTGTAGACGATTTAGAAAAAATTTATTTCATTCAGTTCTTTTATTTGAAGCGAAGATAAACTTTTTGTATCCTGTGTACTTGCTGTAACGGAGAAATTATCAAAAACATAAAACGAATTGGACAAAGAGGGAACGGAACTTATCAATATCGAAGCAAAAATTTTTAAGCTAATGGAATTGTTTTATCGAAGCAGAAAACCTTTCTTTCTCCGATTTAATGTATGCTTTTTTAAATCCTTACACGTACCCAGTTTTTGTTAAAACAGTCCAAACATTTAACACAGAGGCGAAGCGGAGCTTCGCACTACTTGCGATACAACACAAACATTAAGAAAGACATAAGACCGAAAAAAATTGAAAGTTTTTGAAAAAAAACTAGGCTATAAACTTTCATGTCTCGATAGAAGTTCATTCCAGGCAAACATGCCCGAAAATTGAGTTTTAAAATTGCAACAACGGAATAAAATTTGCGAAAAGAAACAAAGCCGGCAATCTTTGAGCAGACACAACAAGAGCCGAAAAAAATATGATTTAAAAAAAAGTCCCACCTTAAACAACAATGATCAACACTTGCACTTGCAATTACATGAAAGATGTTTACAGCACAAGAAAAATCAGTGATGTAGCAACTAAGCCGACAATCTTTCAGCAGACACCAACTGAACCGAAAAAGATTTTATGAAATTTTTTTAAAAACTAATTCAAGTCCCCCTGAAATCAAAACAAACAAAACTTGCACTTGCAACTACAATGAAAATTGTCTACAGCACAAGCAAAAACCGTTGTGACAATTAAGCTGACAAAAATTGAGCCAAAAAACGGAAAATCAATAATTTTTTCTTCTCAGATTTTTTTTAAATTTCCTTGATCTGAAAAATACAAGGTCCGGCCACGACTCGAACCCAAGACTTTAGGGTGCAAGGGTAACTGATTTACCTCCAGGCCAAGGGGAGCAACCTGGAATGTAATAAAAAAGAATATTACTGAAAAGATGTCAGCTGCATAGAAAAGAAGTCAGCTGCCTTTTCTTCCTCCTCCTCGGCAAAGGATTCAACTAATTTTGTTAACCAGAAAAAGTCTATATTCCAGTTTGATAACACTTGCTAATCGCAAGCGTAAAAAAGCCGGAAAAAAAAACATTATAACTCATAAAAAGTCTTCCTCACCCTCAAAACACACCAACACCCACATACAAACTTATTTCACTCGTCGAAAGACGCAAAATGAGGCCATTAAGCCGATTAAATAAAGGCCGAAACCTATCGAGCGGAACAAAAAGTAAAAGAAAAAACAAAGCCGAGAAAAAGTTGTGGTCACGATAAACTACAAATACTAAGACTTTTAGCATTTTGTGCAATTCAGGGATGAGCATTATAATTAGGTTTTCCTTGATACTGCTCAAAAATAGGCCACTAAGCCGATAAAGTATCAGCCAAAATCATTCGGACAGAATAAAGCTTTTAGGCGAAAAAAAATAGAAAAACAAAAAATATATACGAAGTCAAGGTTGGTAAAATTACAAATAGCCGAAAAAATTACAACACTAAAAGCAAATACAATGTAACTTGCCTACAGCAAAAAAAAAATTAAGGTAAGGCAACTAAGCCGACAAAACATCAGCAGACAAATAATAAATCGACAACTTTTTGGAATGGAATATTTCCCGTTTGAAAAAACCAGGTCCTGTCAGATTCAAACCCAAGACATTTGCCGTCCCAGGCGTATTCGTTACCTTCAGACCAAGTGTCCGGAGACAAAAAAAGAATTTATTATGAAATGAATCTAAGTTTACCATTCCAAAAAACAATTTCACGTGCATTTTAAAATAAACCGTAAATCAAGCCGCCACAAAATTTCTTGTAAATAGTTTTTCCTACAAAAACGACCTGAATAAGTGACTGTTTTCTTACATGAAAAATGAATTTAAGTTTGAGTTAATTATATTGATCAGAGTGAAATCATAGCAATTGAAATCATGTCAGGAGTACATTTATTGTCCTTCAACATCAGAGATAAATTTGAGAACATTTGAACACCAAATGTTTCTTAATTTCAAGTAGGAGTCAAGTTTACATAATTATATCATTTCAAACCAAATACACCAGTAGCTTAACTGGAAACTCTTTAAATCAGAAACGGAACAATTGCTTTTCTGCCTTTAGGATACTGCGGAAACTCTTTCTTGTAGTTTCGATGTTTGCCAAGCGCCCAAACTGTCATCTGGTAGAACCCGAGCATGGTAAAAATACCCGCTGGCAAGCTCTGAGTCATCAAAGTAAAAGAGATCCAGATTCCAGCTTCATACGAGTAGTTTGGACACGACACCAACCTGAAGAGAAGCGTGAAAGGATTTCCAGTTGGGAAAGGAATTTTTCTCACTTTGCTTCCTGCCGGTCGTAGATTCCTCAAAGCCACATGGATGCTCAGGTTACCGAGAATGTTGAAAATGAACCCTGATAACCCGGCATATACCTGCATGTCCCCATACGATGGACCCTGGTACAATGGGTGATTGATAAAGTAACTGACAAAAGCAGCACATCCCCAGTAATAGGAGCAGTTTTTGAACAAATTCCGAACCGGCATGGTAGCATGAGAGAACCTATGAACAAAAATTGTTTCCAGAATTCTCTTAGCGTAGTGAACGCTCCAGCATACTGCCGCAAGGTGAACAACAGGAAGCATCTTTGCGTTTTTCAAGCTAGCTGCGCCGTAGAAAATGGTCGGCCTGAGGTAAAACAGAAGGTACACGAAGAGGGGTCCGGCATACTCGCAAATGAACACCGTGCTCCAACCCAACTGAGGTCCGAGGTCCTTGAAATAAACTTTAGACTCCGGTAGCGATGACACATTCATGTCATCCTTAAGCATCTTGCCATTAGGCTCACCTTTGATGCTTTGCCGGTCGGGGTAAAATTTGGGAAGTTCTTTCTCGATGGCTAGTTTTACTTGGCCAATATTAGCATCAGAAGGGACTTTGACTGTCGCTATCTTCTTGGCGGATCGCTGTGACAGGACCTCGATCTCCATTTGACCTGACAGACCGATCTGAAAAGATACATATTGATCGACTTGGTCAGTAAGTTGATTCAAAATAAGAAGCAAAACTTTCACTTGCTTATGCTGTGCGCAGCTTGATTAATTCAATGTCTAAGAACATTTTTGGTCTCATATGCGATTAAATCAAGTCTGCAACAAATTTAATTTATGCGTCTTATGATAGCAAACAGTTTTTCTTCATTCTGTACCAAACACAATCTTCATTATTTAAATACTTGCCATGAATGTCATAAATATACATTGGTTTTTCTGTCTTTTTTCACTTTTCCCTCTGGAAATACTCTCTCAAAGTGCGACGATAGGCGGTAACGAAGTAAGCTTAGTGGGACCTTACACAGATAACCATGGCTACTTGGTAGTTGAAAGCGGGGACCTTCGATACCCCATGCGAGAGATAAACAGATTCGCAGCTGTGCTCTTATGCCCTGCACTCTTCCCTGGCCAAGGTCGTACCCTGACTTGGTTTGGATACGCTCTCAATACTTCTTACTTCGAGACAGAAGAGACTAGATACTACACGCTTAAATGCCCACAAGGACAATCAGACTTGGCCTCTTGCCCTTTCGTCTCCCAAGGTGAGCAAAGTTGGACTCGTTAATCAGAAAATCGGAAATAAGATGAACCAAGTCAGGTGATTGAACGCTAATTTTGAGTTAACGAATAAACAATTAGTCGAAAAGAAACACCAATAACTAAAACGAGAAGGTCCGAAAAATGCCATGCTTTCCTAATCATCCGAGCTGTGAATGTTAACATATTAACTGCTGCTTGCCGATATTTCGTTGAGTACTCAGTAATGTTTTTTTTTTTCAGACGACACAACCCCTGTATCCGAAGGCCACCCCCCGAGGCGACCAGTGGCCTACATCAAGTGCATGACTGAGTACGAGAACAGCTACTGTCAGCTGGACGACGTCCTAGTTGTGGACAAGTGTAACTTCATCGGGGTCAATGTCATCCCTTTCTGGGATCTCTCCCGCATAATCCTATACTCTCTAGGAACAGTGCTCGTCATGGCAATCCTAGTCGCTTTCATCATAGTTTCACCCAGCCAACCCCCTACCTTCCAACTGGACGACTAGAATCTAACCTAAAATCCCTAGCTCTCGATCTCTCAAACCTAACCGATTTCTCAAATGCAATGGAAAGCTCACAATTACTAGACTAATAAACTTTGTTTTAGCTGAAAAAAATGTCGTTTAACTGAGATTTTTTTTTCTTATTGTTTGATTGTAAATAAACATACAAATAAACGGAAAACAAAGTTTTGAATCGCAGTTTCTCAATTAGCCATGACCGAAACCACCTTTATATCCAGCTAGCATACTTCTGGGAGGACCCGAATTCGATAGTTTTCGATCAAATGAATTATCGACCGGCGGAACGTGCCTTATTCCTCCGGGAACAAAATTTCTAGGAACAAATCGATTATCTGTTTGAGGCATAAAAACGGCAGGTGGCGGAGGCAGTAGATTTGGTCTGAGAGGAAGCACCCCGGTCACTTCCGGTTCAGTAGTTGAACTCCGTTGAAACTCGAGATGCTGCTCTTTGAAACTGTGCTCTGAAGTCATGACTTGTCCATCTGTAACCATTAGTTTTTCACCTGGTATGATCTTCACAGACACGAAACAGGGACAGATATCGGGGAAGTGGCGACTGTTCAAAAGTGACCGAAAGATCTCCTGTTCGTATTCTTCGCTTCTGTACATTTTGCGAACTCCTCTATCATTTCGAAGTCTGTCAGACTCCGAGACCTCTGCAAGTTTGCTTTCCAAGAACTTCTCTACCGGTTCAATCTTGCGATGTGGGATCAAAATTGTGAACTTCTTTTGATCCTCGAAATGCACACAGTCAATTTCTACTCTGTCCTCTTTCGTAATTTCCGGACGCAGCGGCTCCGGGAGAAGGTTTTGGCTTTCGGGAGGCAATACATACATGAGGTAGGCAAAGTTGGTCAGTGGTGTATCGGGTGGAAACCTGAATGAACAATTAGCAATTCCAGTTATGTCCGAGATCATAGGTCCATAGTCGAATGGATAGGCCCAGTCCCATGACGGGACATGCGACAATGTGGAGTCCATGATCCAGCAAAGAGTCTTCAATAGCCCCATTCCTGATTTGCGCACTTCGTGGTCTTCTGTGAACTTCAACTTGTATTTGTAGAATCCTATTCTGTAGTTGCTGAATTCAAGAGCTACGTTAGAATCTTCTGGGAAAGGTCTTAGGTCATACACAAAGCCATAAATGTCTCTTCGAGCTCTTAACTGTGCGTCTTCGTGACTGTATCCCTTGTTAGCAATGAGCTCAGACCGATATTTTAGCATTTTAGGAATCACAGAATGCTCAAAAACTTTTCCCTCTAAAAGAGACAACTTGTCGAAAAATTCACACAGCTCAACAAAATTCACTTTTTTATCATGAGTGATCAAATAGTCTTTCATCGATGGAACACATGCTTTATAGCAATTCAGCACAGGCTCAAGACAATTTCTGTTAAATAGCAAAGGAATTTGAGGAAAATAAGAGCTTCCAGATAAATGGCACAAAAGAGCAAAATCAGCACACAATCGGTCCGTATCCAATGTTATATTGCTTTTGCTCGTTTCAAAAACATTCCTAAAATTACTCGTCAATCTTGCTCCGAATTCTTTTATTGGTAATTTTTGGTAAGTTTTCCTTTCGGGGTTGATTTCCAAGTCGGTCGAATCGGTAAACAAAATGTGAACATCTAAGCTTTTCAGGCAGCTTGAAAGTACTATCGTCTCTGCGTCTTCGGAAAATATTGCAAACTTAGAGGTTTTATCGGCTTTTTGTCCTTCCTGCCGTAAATAGCTCACGATTTTTTGCTTCGACTCTCCCGGAACATCATGACCGGATAAAAACACGTCCAAATTTTGCCAGTCCGAGTCGGAATTGATCTTGTCGACAATCCAATATTCGATGTTTCGCTGTAACTCCAACATAAAAGACGATCCGGCGTGTACGCTATTTGGATCAAACACATTTGGGGGTATCTGCGAGTCCATTCTTGCAGCAAACAGTTTCACTTTCAGCTGCGATGTTCTCTGAGCAGTCAAATAAGCGTTCTTACGAGTCCGTATTGCGGCAGCTTGGGGTTCCACACCTTGCATTGCAATGTAGAACAACTTAGTCGGTCGAAAAAGAGTGAAAATCGTTTCGATGTAGTGCAGACAATAGTCAATAACATCGTGATTCGGTATAAACAGATTGGTAATCTCATTGTTATTTATGGACTTGGATGAATTAACTATAACATGTTGCATGTCGATGAATACGTGATCGAACGTTTGAGCAGGAACTTTATCCTGGGGGACTTTCTGGATGATATCCGGGAAAGCTCCCGTAATCCATTCATGTAGACCACAAAGTGACATTTTGAACCTAAAACATTATCTTTCAGGAACTTCGCTGTCATGGATATTACATTAAGGACACAAATTTTGATAAAAATAAGGATACAATAAGAATACAAAGTCAAAAATAAATATATACCGAATTAGAGGTAATCTGAAAAAACTTGGCGCTGGGTTCTGATACAGTTTATAAACGGTTGCGCAAAAAGGAAACTAGATAAAATCATGGTTAGAAAAATTGCTAGAGTAAATCATCATTTGCAATTACAACAAGGATAGCCGATTACTGTGCAAATATAACAGAATGCTCTCCGACCATAGTCTTAGAAATGCAACTTTTTTTTCCAAATTAGTGTCGTTTTTTTGTGTGGTGTGATAAAAGAACCTGCACTAAAAAAGCATAAATTATGTATACTAGCGCATGACTCGCACCTGCGGTGCTTCAAATAGATAGTTGAACGTAAAGATCTTCCAAAAGCATGTACTAAAACAGCGATATTTAGTGAAACCGTGAAGATAAACTGGGCTATCAGGGGTTTCTTTTCCATAAAAAACGCCACATTTCGAAGACAAAAACTTAAAGAAGAAATTAGAGGACAGAATTGCTGCCCTATTTTGTTGCCTGACAGCATCCCAACATAGAGTAAAGAAATTATCAACAACACCGCCCTCCAACTCTCAAATTAAGAATTAGGTGAAAGGTGGTTCAGTAGCTTAGATTTGAAAAACGCTTACAGTCAGCTAAAACTATGCGACGATACGAGTACACAAGGTAATTTCAGCATAGTAGGTGGTAAAACTATCGAAACCTATCGTTTTTAACGGGATTCTATGGGTTGGAAGACATGTCAAACGAATTCCCACGGGTAATGGATTCGTTGATAAAAGACATACCGTTTACCAACTGCTAAATTGAACACTTATTAATTTCAGTTTAATTTTAGGACGGAGATTGTTGACTTGGCCTTCTTAGAGCAACGATTGTTCACATGGGCCAACGTACTTTTTAGGGCTCAAAGTTTTAAACGTCGATCTCGGAAACGTAAAGCTGTTGAGCAAATAACTGTTCTCAGCTCAACTTTTGAAAACGAATGCTCGATGTTTTTTTAGTTTCTAAAAAAAGTAAAAAAAAAATCGTGAGAAATGTCATATCTAGGAAGCAAAAAAGATTTGCTCAGTAAAATCTAGAGGCCAGAACAGTACCCTGACAGCATCCCCTGAATGTAGCCCGACCATTAAGGTTGAGATCGCTTAGTTTTTTCTAAATGAAGATTTTTGAAAAAATCAAAATCAGAAATCACATCACGGAAACAAAAACGAATTGAACAATCATTTTCAAAGACCACATTTGCAACGCCGATGCGTAACAAAAAACTCACCTCCCGTTTTATGGTTGTAAATTTGAACTTAACTTATTTTTTTTTCAAAGCAATAATATAAAACGCCACAACTCGGACAGCTTGCAACCTCTAGACAGCTTCCCACTTTAGTCTTGAGAATTTCAAGATTCGTTAATTTTTTTTATATCTTCTTAATCAACATTTTTTAAATCTAAGTTGTTTGAAAAAAAAAGATTAAATCATGAAAACCGCCATATCACGAAAATTCAAAGATTTGAGCAGTCAAATTTGGACAGCATATTTGCAACCCCTGAGTTTACCCAAGCAGCTTCCCACAATAGCCTTGCGAATTTCAAAATCTTAAATTTAAAAAATCATACAAAAAACGCCATATCTAGGAAACCAAAATTGCTTAGGCGTTCATACTTGGAAACCAGATTTAAACCCCTGACAGCACGCACCGCACTACAGGGTTGAGAATTTCATGTTCGGTAATTTTTTGAATATCTACGTTTTTTTGAAAAGAAAACAGTAAAACAACACATTAACTCGAAAACCAAAGGGATTTGCGCAGTCGTACTTGGACGCCGGCTTGGTTGAAATCTCTGAAAGTACGCTGACAGCATGCCACTATAGGATTGAGAAGTTTTAGTCAAATTTGGACAGCATATTTGCAACCCCTGAGTTTACCCAAGCAGCTTCCCACAATAGCCTTGCGAATTTCAAAATCTTAAATTTAAAAAATCATACAAAAAACGCCATATCTAGGAAACCAAAATTGCTTAGGCGTTCATACTTGGAAACCAGATTTAAACCCCTGACAGCACGCACCGCACTACAGGGTTGAGAATTTCATGTTCGGTAATTTTTTGAATATCTACGTTTTTTTGAAAAGAAAACAGTAAAACAACACATTAACTCGAAAACCAAAGGGATTTGCGCAGTCGTACTTGGACGCCGGCTTGGTTGAAATCTCTGAAAGTACGCTGACAGCATGCCACTATAGGATTGAGAATTTCAAGCTCCGTTAGTTTTTCTGTATCTTATTATCTCGAAAACCAAAAAAAATTGAGCATCACACTTGGAATCCAGAATTGCAACCCCTGAGTTTACCCTGACAGCACCCCACTAACCCACTACAGGGTGAGAATTTCAGGTTCGGCTATTTTTTTATTTCTACGTTTTTTGAAAAATAATCATAAAAAATCAAAAAGCACCATATCTCGTAAACCAAACGGATTTGCTCAGTCATACTTGGACGCCAGATTTGCAATCCTTAAACGTACTCTGAGAGCACGCCACAATAAATCTGAGAAACTAAAATGTTATTAAATAAATTGTGAAACAAAAACTAAATAGTTTTACGTTGCGAATATAGGAAAAGTGTAGAGTGAGAGCATTATCGCTCCAACAGATTTTAAAACGTCGGTTGAGTATGCATTTTAACCCTCGCAATATTTTGGCCATATAACAGACCAAATTAATACGTTGAAAAAGCTTAGACATGTCAATATAAGGACTTCTTAAACATGTGTCAAAAGAAACGCCTATTAAAAAAATGCACAGATGTATAAATAGATAGATAGATTCGACAGTCATACTCGAATAGACTAATTGAAAAACAGTTTGTAGAAAAATAATTAGGAAAACTGAAACAATTTCATCAACATTTGCAATCACAGCAAGGATAGCCGGTTACTGCGCAAAAAGCACAGAATTTGCCAGCCATAGTCTTAAAATTTTTGATTTTTTTCCAAATTTCTTTTTCCGAGTGGTGTGATAAAAAGATCTGAACCAAAAAATAGAAATTAGGCACAATCGACAGCCATAGTCAAAGTATCAAAAGGAAAACAAATTCTGTAGAAAAAATGACAAGAAAAAAAGAAAAATTTCTTCTAAAATTAACTTTACTCGAGAAAAACTAACTTTTCACAGCTTAAGCTAAGCTTATATAGGCAATTGTGAGCCTTGTAACCTTGTTTTGACAAACAAATTAGCTCGAAATAAGACCGAAAATCAAAATTTCAAACCGGTTTTTCTCAATACGTTCCGATGCTTATTAGTGGCACCATATTTTGCGTGGGAAACAAAAAAACTAAAACGGTCGGAACAATGAATATTGGTTTTAACTCGTTAAAAATCGGTTAAGGTAACTCAGCCGATAAAACATGAGCAAAGTCCGACAATTCGATTTTTTTTCAATTTCATCCATTTCGAAAAAAAGGCCCTTATAACTCCACTCATTAGGGCATAAAATGGATGCTTCTGGAGTAGTATGGGAAAAAAAGAGCCGACAGACATAACCTGATTGTTAATTATTCAAACGTAACTATGCTATGACTAAATTGCATGATCTCATCGTTCAAATTGTAATACACGTGTAATTTTCGCTCAACTGCATTGTTTCTTCACAGAGGCGAAGTTCCACTTCACATACACAAGCAAAAATATGACCGATAACGCTACTGAGAAAAACTGAATGAGTAAAAATTTGAGTCTACAAAATATCCTAAAAGACGCACGCCAATTATGAGCCTGCTAAGCAACATAATTTCTAAGTGACGCAAGCCAATTATGACGCATTAGCAGTACTAGTCAATGTTAATAAAAGAAATTTACCAAATAACATTCCTCAATTTATAGAGTGGACGCATTTTACCTAGTATACGAAATAATTCATTAAAAACAGCCGACCCTGCCCAGGTTCGAACCCTCTTATTTTGTTGTCGTCTCCTTCCCTACCTCTACGCTACAGATCCACGATACCTTGAAGCTAAGGAGCTATTTCTAATATCCTTAGCATTGGCTGTACTTAATAGCTGTTTATTAATCAAAATGAACACATTTTGTCGCAACAATATTTGCGTCGCAACAATATTTGCGACTTAGGTTGAAAAAAAAGAGTTCATACTATAAAACAAGATTTGCGTTTGACACAATCACGATTCACTGCCAATTGGAGAGAATTCGACATGTTCATCAATTATTACAAACTACTTTCTGCTCTTTTTCCTCCCCAGTGGTTAGACTGATTAGGCTGTGGCAAACATATTTGGTCTTCGTATTAAACCTTTCAAAACCCCTCGTTACACCGTCAATATGATGCTTATGTGAGGCCAGGGAAAAAGAAGGCTCTTTTCAATTTCCCACGCCTCTCGTAAAATTACAAAATAAAGTTGTTCACAGGGCATTTTGCATGAACAAAATATTGTAAAAATTTGTTCGCCTGTTCATGCTGACACGTTTTATTGCAGTTTATAACATGAAAAAACATTTTAAATAGATTTTAATCAAATTAATATAAGAAAAAATTAGAGGCGGGGAACCGGAAAACAGCCAAAAAGACAAAGAGCACGATTATAAATCTTACTCAATCCACTTAGTCTATTACAACAAGGCGATATTACATTAAAAAGCATCTCAAGCACTCAAAACACAAAATAGAATCAGCTGTAAATTAAAGAATTAGCATTATCCAGTTTCATATCATATCCATTGAGCATTTTATTTTCGAAAATGGTTGCTACAGCGTGAACGAACTCTTCTGAATGCGGAAGTCTGAATTTCGGGTGCATTCGGCCTTGAATAAAATTCATCTTCATATTGTCAGACCAAATTTCTTCTACTTTATCAGTGTCAAAATACCCGGTGGAAATTGAGCAGACGCGTATTCCTAACGCCGCTAGTTCCCTTGAAGCTGGAACAGTCATACTTTTAACAGCTCCTTTCGACGAAGTATATGACGTCATAAGTTCATGACCTTCGTAAAGCAGAGTTTTATTAATAAAAACCACATCTTTATTTTCTTCGGTTACATCTTGACTATCTAACTCTTTAACAAATGTTGCTAGAACGTTGAAACTACCTATTGTATTTACAGTGAAGGGTTTCCAAAAATATTCAAATGAATTCGCCTTTCCGTGTTTTTTGTTAAACAGTTTAAGCGCGTGACTCTGACTAGCACAGTTCAGGCATAGATTGTATCTCAAATTGAAAGCTTCAAATCCTTTCTTCAGAGCAACTTCAATATTCTCCCTTTCTGTGACAGAGCCTACTACAAATTGACAAGATGGACCTAAATCCTGAGCCAAGTACTGTCCAAATTCGATATCGGTATCCATCACGGCAACTTTTCCTCCGTTCTGAACAATTGCACTCGCCGTAGCACGCCCCAAGCCGGTTGCTCCGCCGGGAATAAAAGCCACAGCTTTGCTGAGGCTCTTTACGGCTGAGTTCATTTGATTTCTACTAATTTGGCCTGCGAAATTTGTTAAAACGAGGGAGAAACTATTCAAAAACAGATTCAAACACAAATCATTCTGACAATCTGAAAAAAAAATTGAAAAAAAATAGAGCCTCTGCTTTTTCTAGAAAATTCTGGTTATCTATTTTGTTTGGACCACGTAATGAAAAGGAACTGGCAACGAGGTTTAACTTCAATGAGAACACATCATGTTTAATCACTTTCAGTCCCCCCTTTAAAGACGCCTGTGACACAAATATTTTAATTTTAGAAATAAATATTCAGGACGGGGGGGGGGGTGGTTAAAAACTGTTTTTTTTTTCAAAAATCTTCCATAGCGGTATTTTAGGCACATTTTCATAAATCAAATCTGGGAAAATATGGTATGCTTGGTGTCTACTTGGTCCACCTGAACAGATCGGCAAAAAATTACACTTCTAGGAAACTTGCTCTCGCAAAAACCGTAGATTTTTCCCTATTCTGTGCTATTAGTAACCAGAAAACTCTGTTTCTCTCTCTAGAAAAAGTCTTGAGTTATAATCTTTATCTTAGTCATTAAAATAGTCTAAATTCATTCAATATCCATGATTTAATATCATCTATCTGTGGGTAGAAATTACAATATACGATCACTATACATTTATGTAAGGTAATAAAACAACAACGACACTGATCGGATTGCGAGACATCCCAGGTGAGAATATGGAACTGATAGAAAACAAGCAATCTAACATTTAATGGAAAACTCATATATCATCGCTAGAGCATTTGAGAATAATTTGCTTTTGATTTGGACTTTCATGGTACTTGTAAGAAAAAATTATGACGGAATCTCCCAAACGCTCATATTGCAATGATTAAAGCATTTAATAATTCATATGAAAACATAGCAGTAATATTTCAATTTTTCAATAATTATTTCCACGAATGAACTTATAACGGATCAATGGAACAAAAAGTCACTTGGGTCTTGATTTGTTATCTGAGCGAAGTGGCGCAATACATCTTTCTTTGTGATAATTCCTAGCAGTCTGCCATTGTTTGTAACCAGCAACGTTCGAAGTCCCAATTTAACAAACACGTCCATAATTGTATCCATTGGCGTTTGAACTGTAATTTGGAACGGGCTCAGTTCTACAATTTTTCTCAGTTTCAGCGGCGAGGGTCCCAAGTTTTGAGACTCATCATAAGGAATTTCAGATGTGAAATAGACTTTAGACTGGCTCACGACATTTGGATTAATATCCTGGGCGTTTTTCAACGCAAGCAGCAGATCCCGTCTTAAGACGTAACCGCATAGCCTGTATGTTTCGCGGTCCAGAACCAACGGGAACCCATTGAATTTTGTACTCTGGGCCATTGTCGTGACCTGTTCGAAGGTCATGTCATCCAGGGTCAACACCTGAAGTGGTGGGTCACTCGGTCGGGGTTTCATGATGTCACCCGCAGCCAATGACTGCTGGGAGTGTGTTTCTTGCTTGTTGTCCAGGAACGGGTATCCATTTAGACGAATGTGCTCATCGTAGATTCCGTGTTTGCAGATACTATCTCCCACCCACTTAGCTGTCATTGTTGCCACCATCAATGGGACAATGTACAGCAAGCCACCTAAACATGAATTGGAGAAACATCCAGAATCGCACTAAGATATCATTGCATTATTCATGCTTCAAGAGTTCGATCAAGCAAATAACACACGATTAAATGCGTAACCTTACTATCATTAAATCGATCGAATTGGAAGCGAGAGAATCGAAAGGTAACAAAAATAAATTCTCTCATCTCTTAATTCCAATTATTTCACAGCCAGTAGAAAATTGACGATACGAAGACTAGATTGCATCAGATGGTATTTTAATACAAAGTATTTCTCCATCGTGACTGTTTTTTCCTTCAACGTTTGAAAATTGGAACCGTTTTGAAATCGGTACACTTACGAAGCTAGCTATTTGCGAATATGAATCAAATTGAATATCCTAATTATATTAAGAAATCAAGCACGAGTCCGATAGCTTCACCATGCCTACTAAATTTCACTAAAAACTATTAAAAAACTACGAAAGAAGCTGATGTTTTGAAACACCAAAGCAGGTCGCTGCGCAAAGTGTGACAAACGTTTTTCTTTTCTAAGCGAGATTCTTTTTTTTTAAAGTGAAAATATTAGTAACCTGTAAGTTCGAACATGATGACTACTAGACTGACAGTCATCCTTGTCACGCCTGCGAGGACAGCTGCGGCACCCACCATCGCATAGAAACCAGGCGTGATGCAGTCGAATGTTGAGGTGCAGTCCTCGTTGAAGGGGTAGACGTCTGGGTTGTGGTATGCTATCTGCTGCAGAGTGATGCCCAAAATTCGACCAAAGATAGCACCCACTGCCATGCTTGGGATGAAGAGACCGGCTGGGATCTTCAATCCGAATGTGAACACAGTCAGGACACCTGAAACGACCCAGTTATCATTTGTGAAACAATCGAGGGACTTTCCCAGTCTATGACAAAAAAAAGTATACCAACCCCACCCCACATTGTGATTTTACTATTATTGGGGGGGGGGGGGGGGGGGGGTTACTTTTTTTCTTGGTTTGGGGTTCCCTATTATTAAAATTAGCCATAATCTCATCAACTAGGGACACAGTTAGTAGAAGCAGTAACCGTAAAGTGAACAAGCTCAAGTTTTGTTTTTGAAACCGAATAGGGGTGCCTACGACTAACGAGTTTCAGAAATTATGAGTGATGAGTTTGAACTAACTTCTTCTTTAATTTGGTTTCATACCGACTACGATTGAACAATCATTTTCAATATTGATGCAGAGCTTGGACCTTATGTCATTAACCTGTCTAGACAATGCCTTAAATCTGCTGCTTTATATTTATTCAAACTTGAGTATTTTTTTCCTATATTTTCCGATTTATATATTTTTCCTTGCCTTTGAAGATCACAAATTTGTCTTTCAATTGATAAAACGGGCAGTGCTAGGTAACCCTATTGGATTCGTTGACTGTCACCTCACTGTTTCTGGTGCTTCATATTAAATTCTCGTAGTATGCAAATTTACCAGTAACAATGAGAAATAAATTCATTCATTCATTCAACTTTCGTTCCTAAACATTCTTATTTGAGGCCCGCTTATCTTAAAAGCTATGTCTAATTTTGAGAATGAAAATTGCAAAAAAATGAACAACGAAAGCCAGTGAAAAATTTTGACTCTATACAGACGACGTGGAGTATGATCGAAAATTTATTACCGAAAAAAATCAAGAGGGTAAAAGCTTAAATGCTTTTTCTTTCACCTCGCCTGCGCCACACGTCATAGTTGCGCTTAAAATGAAAAAGAAGACTTATAGTGGAGATGCTTGCAGCGATCATCTTTCTTCGATCCAAACCAGCACGTCTTCAAGGCTACTATACCATCACTGCCCGGCTGATTACACATGATATATCAAAAAAGGCTCTTTTTCCTTTCCCCCCACCTGCAAATTTTTACAAGTAAAATTACTGTTCCCACCAACCGATTAACAAGAAAACTGGCATGCGGACTAATCGGCCCATGACAAACATATTTGGTCTTCATAATTAACCTTGTGAAACCACTCATTACATCATAAAATTGATGCTCATACGAGGTGGGGGGGGGGGGGGGGGGGGGAAAGAGCCAAAAAAATAGAGGCAGTAATGAAGAGGTTACAATAAATCGCATATCTCTAAAGAAATGTTGTTGAAAATCTTTTGAAAGAAACCGTGAACAGAAATTTCAGTCTTTGGTTGAAAAAATACGCCTCCGCAAGCAAAAATGTCCTGTCCTCATAAGTAAAAACGTAGCTCCGTTTCTGTAATTAAAAGGAAAAAAGACATGTGTAGCTACCGAGGAGGAAATTAAAGCGAAACTGGAGTAGTACAAAGTGCTCCACATTTTCAAACGAAAAAAGTCTTGTGTGCTCATTTACCAGTAACATTGTTTGTGATCAATGAACGCAATGTAAGATAAAAAATACTAATTAGCAGGGGCGGATCTAGGAATTTCTGGAGTGGGGGGGGGGGGGGGGGGGGAGATTTTCAAAAAAAAATTGATTTTCTCAGCTCTCCCAAATCACTCTAAAAACCCTCATTCGACCCCATTAAGGCATTTTTAAGCACTTTTTGGGAATTTTTTTTTGCCGCGCTCCATCTGCATATTTTGGTGCTAAAAGCGACTTTGAAAAATTTGGGTTTCAGTCAGCTAAAAATGGATAACTCAAAAAAAACAAAAGAGAGACCCTTTTGATCGGCAGGTGGTCGAATCCATGAGAGGGTGACTTCAATTTTCACGTTTCAAAGAAAAAGGTAGATGAGTTAAAGCTGCTCGAATTTCAAGAACAAAAAGTGTCAAATTTGAGAAAACTGAATCAATAGTTTATTTCTTTATTCGCAGGGAAATCTAAGCATAGCCAACAGACAAAAGTGTCAATGGATTTAGGGAAACAAAAAAAACTTACTTGTTTTTTGAAACGCGTCAATTTTCGAGCTTCCAAGAAAAAATATATGCCTTTGAAGCTCTGTGAATATCTTGAAAAAAACTATTATGGACAATTTATTGATAAAATTAATCCAACTTGAGAAAAATGGATTAACGGGTAATTTTTTTATTTCGCTGGAAATTCAGAAAATTACAGGCGAACTCCACTATCGAACAGCAAAAGTTTGAAAGTCACGAAAAAGTTGATCGACTTCTTTTGTTCGATAACGAAGTTTGCCTGCCTTCTTTTAAACAAAGGAAATGAACTGAAATTAAAAAGAAACTAATCAAACCAGGAACAATCAAATTTGAGCCTGAACAAATTTTTAAGACTTATTTCTAAAAAAAACTTGAAAAAAATCATCACGACCTACGCAAATGGCTTCACTACATTCACTTAGTTCATTGTCTTAAACTAAAAAAAAAACTGAAAAGGCTTCAACATAATACCACGCTTAATCATCTTAGAAAGCGGTCAGGTCTGAAGAATGATTTCAATTCCCACCTTTGGCAATGAGAGCCATGATGAGCTTCCAAATGGCAGTTTTGATGCCTGATCCGGCTAGTGCATTGGGGTATCTGTGCTCGTTCTGCTTAAAAGTCGTCACATTACTCATGTCGGTCGTCACATTCGTCTGGATGACGTAATCACACAGGTCCGAAGTGTCTGTCTCGGGACAGTCGCGGAACAGTCGGTAGATGAGTTGATTGGTCGGCATCCAAGTGTACTCGTTGAAGTAGCTCAGTATTGCAGTCACAACTGAAACAGTTTAAAACTCGTTCAAACAAAAAATTATATCATTACACCATTTTAGGGTATAGTCTCAAGTTTGGGATTGCGTCTTGATAAATAATTCGCGTTTTATGTCAAAAAGAGTAACTGTTTGCTGTTTAAGTAGCACAGAAAGATCTGCCCGCACTTAATTTTCAAACTAAAAAGTCATTATTATTTGAAAACGAAACACTTTTTCCAAATTTTTGTTCGTTTACAAATTGTTTAGTTTTGTGCGTATGGTGGAAAGGACTAAACGCTACAGTAAAAAAAAACACCAGTCTTTACTAACGAGCAAAAAAATTAAAAGCTTTAAATATTGGCCGAATCAAGACTGAAAAAGCTTTATTACTGTATATCAATCGGCTTCATCTGACGTTTGCTTAACAAAATCTTTAAAAAGAGAAAAAAAACGAAACACATTTGAATACAAATTCACTTATCATTTCATAGTTGAAACAATTAGCGCAAGAAAAACCGAATCCTGTCAACGAAATTCGAAAAAGTTTTGACCAATTTCTTTTTTTTTCGAATGAACTCATTTAGCCATAAATCAAAATCGGTCGGATATGTTTAACAACCTCCACCCCTTTCAAGAAGGGGGGGGGGGGAGAGATTGTTAAGTAGCTCAAAACAGTCGATTTTTCGACCAATAAGAAAGCAGCAAAGTTAATCAAAGGCTCAGTGCTAATTTACTGTACTTATTTATAGGAGTGGATATTCTTAAAAAGGTACCATAGGGGGGGGGGGGGGGGGGGAGAGATTGTGCAGTAGATCTAATCGGTTTACCGATAAAAAAAATGATGACGCGACCACAACTTAAACAAATTAATGTCAAAAACCCATTAAGCTATTACCTGTGACGACTAGAACTTCCGTGATTGGATATTTGCCCAGCACTGATTTTTTCCTGTAGCGACACCACTCTATATTGCATTTTATGAATAAAGCTCCCACCACGCCTCCAAACACGCCCAAAATGACACAGGGCACCAGTTCAAACATGTACCATGGAGTCTTATACTCCACGTAGAACAACACTGCATGATCTGTACCGAGGGGGTTTATGAAACTGAGCACTGAAGTTGCCACAAGAGCGCAAAAGAAAGATCTGTAGAGTGTTTTGAGCGGAAAGTAGTAACTTGCTTCTTCGAGCGAGAACAAAATACCGCCCATAGGAGCCCCGAAAGCCACCGCGACTCCCGCAGCACAAGAAGCGGACAAAATTTCTCGCTTTTTCGCCTCATTTTGACCGTATTTTGGGAAGAATCTGACAAAAAGGTTGCCGCAGCATGATGCAATATGAACCAGGGGTCCCTCTTTTCCGAGACTCAATCCAGCGGATACAGACAGCATCAAAGTGGAGGTTTTGATTAGCAATGTCCAGAAGCCGAGGTATCCCTTAATGATGAATCCGCCCAGAATTGTCTTGATCTCTGGAATACCACTGCCGCATGCGTAAGGAGCAAAAACTCGAACTAGAGTTGCTGCTACGCCAGAGAAAATCAAAGCGATCCAGATAAACACAATGAACAGGATCAGAGAAGCTCCAAAGCCAGAACTCGTTCCAGCTAAAATCAAAACTTCAGATTTTGACAAGACTAATTTTCACGAAGTTTTCACAAATTGACGCTAGAATCGATTATTTCAACTGCGATGCAAAATATTATTTCCTGCATGCATGATCTATTTAACGAGCTTTCTACTATAAAAACATATTCCCAGGAAGGCTAGCCGCTATTTATATTAAAGCAATAAAAAAAGTTGTTCAATTTATCTCCCGCATAATAAAATTAGGGCTGAAGATAAAACACGATGTAATATTGAAATGCGAAAAATCTATCAAAGCATTATTTTCTATGTAAACCTGAAACTTTTTAACTACAAAGCGCGTGAAGTCATGAAGTGCAAGCTTTGCTTACCGATGATTTCACTCCAGCTTCTCCATTGGTCACATCCCTCTTGAGAGTCGAACTTGCCCTCATTGGCCCAGCAGCACTGCTCCTTGCCAAACCACAGCTGGGGTCCGTCGCTCATGTTCGGGCTGCTTCCCACACACAGTCCATACCTCAGATCTGTCATCCACTGGGCCCCAATGTCTATTATGGAGGCCACGATGCCAGTCAAACAACCAACTACAAAAACATCCAAACACATTAAGTCACTCAGCAGAGCGAATTTGGAAGAAATTTCAATGACATGATTCGGGGATTGAATTTCGTGCGATTAAAGCGATCGAGTACCGTTCGTTATATGATAAGTTAACTTTTATTGAATTTTTGCGCAAAAAAATTGATTTTACTAGTATTGGAACTATTTCATTAGTACTTTCTTGGCAAAAAGTTTTCTAACACAGTTTAAAAAATAGAGTGCAATTGAAATCAAAAACAAATTTTCTCATTTGATTGTTCCATTTCCTGAAAAAATGATGTCAAATAACTAATTCATTAAATTTATGCGCGTTTAAATAATTTCTCTTCGCACCAAGCACTAAAACAAGACTAGTTTGAAAAAAAAAATAGAAAAAGTTTTTGTAAGTTTTTTATGAATGTGGCCGGAACATTCTGCGCTACTTGTTTTCATATGCAGCTTCAAACATCCAGAACTTTATCAAAGCTACCCCTAGTGCCATTTTAGATTAGAACCAAGTGCACAGGGTATAGGATTTTAGAAAACTGACCCTTTAACCACCCGGGCGACCTTTGGTATCATTTCATGAAATCAATTTTTGGGGAATCCCTAGCATAAATACTCCGCTACTTTCTTCGGATGTCGGAACAAAACTAACCCACACTTAAACTTCCTAAATCAAAAATTTATTTTTGATGACAACAGTTGTCGATTATGCCTAATTTGCTAACTTTCCACGCGTTTGTATAGTTCTCTTATCACACCGCGCATCAGAAATGACACTAATTTGAGAACAAATTCTTTTTGTAGTTTTTATGCATGCGCTCGGACCATTCTATGCTACTTGCACAGCAAGCGAATGTTCTAATTTTCTAAGGTTTCGGGAGAGTTCGAAAAATCAGACTAGTCCTCTTAAAATTTCATCCGAAATTTAACCCTCTTGAATTGGACTCATTTTTCATTTTGGCGAAAAACAACAATTACACTGAAACTGAAATACTGCGCTTTTTCTAGTTTCTAGAAGCTTGCTAAACCAATGAACAACCACACAAAAACATGTATAAATAATTTGTTGACACAACCAGAAAAAACTATGCGCAGTAAAAAAAAAACATGTGCAAAATGGGCCCGCTCTTATCTCCAAACAAAAATAATTGTATCCAAATCCGTAAATTAATAAGAGTTATTTCTCGGTAAATGACTCAGGCAATAGATAAGTTTCGGCATTTTCTATCGATGATAACATAATGTAACATTTTTTTTTCTTATTCGTCACCGATTCACAGCATCAATAACAAATTGGCGCAAGCTAGCCACAAGAACCGGTCGGTAATGTCCTTGAGACAAATTGCTCTTTTTAAAGGTCAGTTTTATTCAAGGTTGAACCAAAATAGAGCGAAAAGACGGTTAAAATAGGTTTTTGGGGGTTCGATTTTATATGCATTTATACTCTCGCACATTTGCGTTTATATTTGCGCTGCAACATCCTCCACCACTAAACAAGGAAGAACGGGAGCGAGCTTTACGGTCGGGCGGGTCAGTTCGCTCGTAACGGTCTTTATGTCGGCGGATCTCGCGCATCCGTCCTTGCCATAGTGCAGTCTTAGGATACGTGCGAGTGGATAATACCACGTGGAGTGTCAGGCTCTATGACCCAAACCAAGTCGCCGGCTTTCAACTTAACGTCTGACTGGTTGTGCCACTTTGCCCTCCTATTGAGGGAAGGAACGTATTCCCGCATCCACCGTGTCCATATTGCGTTAGCGTATGATTGCGCTCTGGCGAAACGCTTCTTATGGTCGAAGTTTTCTTCGAAACTTAGCGACGGAAAACTCGCTGCGTGTTGACCAAGGATAAAATGATTCGGGGTCAACGCCTCTAGATCTAGCGGATCGGAACTAACGGCTGTTATCGGTCTAGCGTTGAGTGATTGCTCAACAAGGCACAGCGTGGTTCTTAGAACCTCCTCAGTTACTCTTCTGTTGCCTAAGATGTCATACAAAACGCGCTTGACACTCCGAACTAATCGCTGCCAGGAGCCACCATGATGCGGTGCGCTGGGTGGATTGAATTTCCACTTGATCTCTTTCTGAACAAAAACAGCGGGTGCGAGCTTGTTCCAACTCTCAACGCAAGCTAAGAGCTCTTTCTGAGCGCCACCCAAGTTCGTGCCGTTGTCGGACATGATGCTAGTCGGAGTACCGCGACGTGCAATAAACCTCTCCACGCCCATCACACAAGAGCTTGTGTCGAGTGAGGTGACCACTTCAATGTGCACCGCTCTAGTGGTGAGACAGGTGAACAAAAAACCCCACCTCTTTTCCGTACTTCTCCGGATTGGAACTAGGAACGGCCCAAAGTAGTCGACACCTGTGTTAGAGAAAGGAGGTTGCTTGTAACCCAGCCTTTCAATGGGCAGATCAGCCATCATATGAGTTACGGTATGCGCTTTGCGTTTTCGGCACACGACGCAAGTATTTTCAAAGTTTCGCAGCAACCATCGCAAATTTAACACAACGTATTTCAAATTAACCACCGCACGCATGTAATCCAAGCCTTGATGGAAATTCTTAACGTGCAAGTGTTTAACTAATAACCGAACAACCGCGTGACGTGCATCAAGTATAATCGGATGCTTGCTAACGAAATCGGAGTTAACCAAGCGGCTGATGCGCCCAGTCGAGCGAAGGATGCCAGCTGGTCCAATGATCGGCGAATACTTGGCGATCCGACTATTCTTCGTGATAACTTTACCGCATCTTAGTAGTTTTAGCTCACGAGGGAATGATTCACCCTGGGACAGGTAAATGAGCTTCTGTTCAGCAATATCCATTTCAGACGGGTTTGTAATTTCTAATATACTCGACCGGAAATGTTTATGGGATGGCAGCCATCTTAACAAAAATGCTACTGCGCGTTTGTATTTTACAATTGAATTGAATCTCTCCCATTTTCCGAAGGGCAGATTTTTTTCTGTCAAAACATCGACGACGAAACTTGACGAATTTTCCAGACAAATGTCGATATCACATGATGGTCCTTTGAGTCTTATTTTAACAATAACCCTTGTATCGGGCTTGAACAGCCAATCAGTTGTTCTCAATATACTAGGGCCATTAACCCAGCTGCTTTCCTTGAGGGCTTCCGAAGAAATCCCTCGTGTACCGGTATCAGCTGGGTTTATCACCGCTAAGTATGTGATGCCACTCATCAGTGGTGATAGACTCCAGAATCTCACCAGAGCGATTACCAACAAAAACGGGTAGTTTACTACAAGAGTGAAGTAAACTTCAACTGGAGAACAGCGGTACTATCTGTCCACATGAAAATATCCGTAACTTTGAAAGTGAGACCTTTCACAATTTCTTCTTTTAAGCGGGTTGCAAGAAGAGCCGCTTGAAGCTCTAACTTTGGAATAGAAAGCGCTTTCATAGGCGCGACGCGGGCTTTGCCAAACACAAAGGCTAATTCGGTCTGATGGGAGCTAACAAGTCGCGCACGAAGGAAAGCGACGACACAGAAAACATCCTGCGAACTATCACCGAACAAGTGAAGTTCTATTCGGTCGAAAGGTTCAGTGAAATAGCTGCGAGGTATTGTCAGAGAACCTAACAAATGAAGACCTGAGTGCCACTCATGGAATTGCTTTTTGATTTCCTCTGGCAGATCATCGTCCCATTTTTGACCGCTGATTCGCCAGATATCTTTTAATAGAAGGCGAGCCTTCACGGTATTCGGAGCCACAAACCCAATTGGATCAAAAACAGAGGAAACAAAACTCAACACGGTACGCTGAGTGATTGCTTTGTCTAATGGACGATCAACCCCTCTACTAACGACTAAGGTATCTTTTACGTGATCCCACTTAAGACCGAGAACATGCGACGACTGGTCTGGACTCGCACAAATATCTTTAACAGACGAATTGTCCGGATCAAGAGCGGTTGTAACGTCGGGCACGTTGCTGACAAATTTTGTCAGACGAAACCCACCTAGTTTAAGCAACGAGATTAAATCCCTACCTAATTTCAAGGCGTCATCCCTGTTTTGGAAAGAATCCAGATAATCATCCATATAAAATTTCTGGACAACAGCCGAAGCAGCTTCGGGGTACTCAGCTTGATTATCCGATGCAGTCTTCTGCAAAGCAAAATTCGCACAAGTCGGCGAGTCACGAGCACCAAAAATGTGACGCGTATATTGGTGAACTACCACACTTGATGTGGGGTCCTCCCGCCACAAAAAACGAAGAGAATGTTGATCTTCTTCACGGACTCCAACCTGTAAAAACATCCCTTCAGTGTCAGCTGAAACGGCGTATTTATGCTGACGGAATCTTAAAGTACAAAAATGAGGTTTTGAAGGAGATCCGGGCCAACCAACAGAGATTTGTTCAAGGACGCGCCATGACACTTCAATGCCCCATTGAGGAATCGGCGCGCCTTACCGGGTTTATTCGGGTTCAACACCGGGTGATGCGGGAGATACCACTCACGATCGGCTCGTGATTTGGGATCGTGTGCCTTAACGGTTATCATATCCTTTTTGTATATCTTCTCTAATTGTTTCGGCGTATTTTTCACGGAGCGACGGATCCTTATCTAGCCTCTTTTCCAAAGACTTTAATTGAGCTAAGGAGGAAAAATAGTTATTCGCTAAAGTACTTTCCTTATCATTCCAAAGCATTGGTACAATGTACCTCTCACCATCGTGAAAGATGTCATTTTTCAAAACGGACAAAGCGCGCTTGCCGGCGGCGGAACGGGCATCTACCTGCTTGAAGGCTCCATATGACTCCAACTCATACCAAGTTTTAATTTGCTCCGCAAGAGACATGTCTTCGACAACACACTTAAGGCAAGACGAGTTCGACTTAAAGGACGGCGGTAACGGACCACTTAAAACCCAACCTATCGGAAGGCGTACGGCGAAATAGAGTCCTCCCCCAGAAGGTACTCAACGGGTCTTATGGCATGGTAGAAATCCTGTCCAATAATTATTTCGA